GTCACAATACAGACATTAATAGTTTCACATAAGATCCTATTTGAAATAAATGCTGTTCTTTTTGAACTTCCTATTCATCAAAGAATCCTGAAAAAGAAAATGTATCACGGTTTCCACAAAAATATTAATCAGCACAACTGTTTTCAACATTGATAATAATCAGACATGTTTCTTAAGCAGCAAATCATCAATTTAAAATGATTTCTGGAGGATCATGTGACACTGAAGACTGGAGTAATGATGCTTTGATCACAGGAACAAATTACACTTTACTATATATTAGACTTTGTAGTCAAGACCGCCTAAACCGAGATCAAGACACTACCAAGACCAGAGGGTATCGAGACCAAGACAGACCAAGTCGAGACCGGAGGGAAAAAAACTGAAGCGAGTGTTGAAGCTAAGCAATAACTTGTGAGATTTTGTTTTGCATTGCCTGCCTATCTCTGCCGATTTCGAAGTCTCCAAATGAATCCATTCTGCAACTTTTAAATGCATAATTATATTTTTTAAAACGAAATTATAGTTACACACACATATACACACACACACACACCGTTGGCGGTGCGCTCAAAGTCATCTGTTAGTTGTGCAGTTACCCAAAATCTCCTGAATGAAGTTAAAACCCATGTTTTACTAAATATTAATACATCAAAAACTGTACATGATATGTGTTTTTTAAATCAAGTGATCAAAGTGCTCGTTGCCGCTGCGATCAGTGGCGCGGATACGGCTTGCGCACACCGCACTGTCTTCACTCGGACGCGCGCTTCAATCCATTGCGGATATCGTCGTGGATATTGTAGTATTGTATTGCTAAATCCCCTGACCACTATGTCGGTCTGAGACAGCGAGACTTAGACTAGACCGAGAGGTCCGAGACCAAGACCAAAGACCGTCAAGGCCGTGACAAGACCGAGACCACGTCTCGAGACATACATCACTACTATATATTCACATAGAAAACAGTTGTAATAATTGTTTTACAGTATTACAAAGTTCACTTACTAGAGGGCATAACTATGATTTGGAACAACCTTTGTGTCAGGAGCGTGTGTACGATCCCTTAAAATGCTGTCTACGTAGGTGTGTGAATAGACTTGCATAAGTCCTGTAGCAGATTTAGGCAGGAGGAGCTGGGGGAGGTGGAGGGGTTCAGAGGACTGGCCTACAGCGAACACCAAACCAGAGCAAGCAATCTCATAGGCTGCAGAATGAGCACAGGCCAATCAGCTTTCGTCATGTCTTCGTAATAATGCGACTGTAAAGGACCTATCAGCCTGCGCCCTCTAGGGTTTCACGACCGAACTAGATAATCCCATATGTTTCAAACTTGTGTCTTTTGTAGCCGACCAACTTCACGAATCCCGTGTATGCCACTCTTTACATGGGAGCGCACAACAGCCGCAATTCCCTGGCCAGCACAGACGAGAAGAAGGAGCTGCTGTCCCGGGGCGACGAGGAGCCGCTGGTGGACCCGCTGGCTTAGACCCGCCATCCGTTTGGGCCAGACATGGAAAATACCATTTGCCTTTTAGAGAAAAAGAAAAAGAAGAAGAAAAAATAAACATGAAGAAAATCAATGATTAAGTGTTAACACTGTATAAAATGTACAAAATGAAGGACTACTTTTGTATGTGATTGCAGTATTATATTTTGTTGTTTTACAATTCTTCTGGTCACAACTAAACATCACAAGAGCAAAAGATCAATTTTCACACAAAAAAAAGAGAAAAAAAATGATGCAGTTTTTGGTTTCGATTTTTAGGTCACCTCCCTTTTACCTTAATAGCCACTACCTCTGTGCAATATGGAGTCAAAAAGAAAAAGATTGGAACAATGACATTTTTTATTTTTGTATGAGATGTATAGAGAAAAATGTTGTTCCATCAGTTGTTTTATGTTTGACTGTGTGGAGAGGGCAACTTTGACATGGAACCAGTGTTTGCTTTAAACTTACTACAATATCAAGCAGATGTTATCAATTTATGTGCCAGTTTTACTACTCTCATTGTAGGTTCATAATTATAATTATTTATGAGGATAATAATCAGTTTCCCGTGCACAGATCCAAACCATTGCAATATTACTTATGCTTATTACAAACTTTTACTGAACCGATTTTGTAAGTGAGAATGTCAGTGTTGTAGATTTGGACACACTTGACTGAAATGTTTCTCATGATCTTAAAACCTTTTGATTGAAAGGCTTCTGCTTAACTGCTTGAAATTAGTTTTATAGACGACAATAAATTGTGCCTATGTATGAATCTCTCTGCAAACCTAAACATCTTTGTTCAAATGTAAAAAAAAAAAAATAATGAAATGGGTGAGTTGGAACACGGATAGTGAAGGAAAAGCAGCACACATGTAAAAGATTTAACATTTTTTGGTCACTACATAATTGCCATATTTCAATTGGATAGTTTTCATGACACATTTTAGATTAATAGTAAAGAATGAGTTAGTGTGTCCTAACTTTTGACTGGTACTGTATTTATTTTCAGATGAATGAAGTGAAGTGTAATTGAAAGAGAAAGCTGCTTACAAGTAAATCCCAACACAATAGAAGGCACATTTGTACATTGGTTGTAGTGACGACGTGTTTTTTTTAGCACCTTTAAACCTGATGAGGGTTTATGACAGAAGAAAGTGAATTTTTACACTTGTTTATACTTGTTTTTAAAATGTCACAGTTAAAGATGAAAACCCGATGTGTTCTAATATTGACACACTTTCATCTTGTCTTTTGTAATCTGCCTCTGAAATATACCATCCATCATGTTGCTTATACTTTTAAAATGTATGCCTTTTTTTCTCAGTAAATCCATATTTTCCTGCTCAGCTGACATGCTGCTTTTGTCAGAATGCTTATCAGCCATATTGTAAAACATCTTTCAAAAATTACAAACAAAGAACAATAGCAACATCTACAGCAAACCAAAGTGCAGTCATCCTCTCAGATCACTGACTAATGCCAGATCTTCTTCAGCTCAACTCCAACTGTTAAGAGAGGACAACTTTTAGTACTTTTGATATTACTGATAGTAAAATTTCCTCTGGAATAGTTAATCACATGACATTTACAAGATGGGTGACTGTATCCAGAACTCGCTGCCAGAGAGCAAGCATGCAGGTGGTGTATTTTAAGATGAAATGAATGTAAAAAGTTATATTAGATTCCTTTGGTAGATGGGAGCTGTATGAATGGAAATGGCCATCGGGGACTGTTGTCAACAGTGTTGACTCATTACAAGTAACTTGAGTTACATAATCAGATTACTTTTCAAGTAACTAGTAAAGTAACACATTACTTTTTCAATTTACAACAAAATATTTTAATAAGTTACTTTTTTTTTAAAGTAACGCTAGTCACTTTTTCACATTTATTTACTGACATCTCTCCTGTCCCTGTTGACAGAAATAAAATGAGGTGTTCTGTGTGTGTGTGTGTGTGTGTGTGTGTGTGTGTGTGTGTGTGTGTGTGTGTGTGTGTGTGTGTGTGTGTGTGAACATGGTGGTTATTTTAGTTCTAGACTAAATGTGAACATGCATTTACTCATCTCACTTGCACAAAAACAAGTTAATGGGCTCTATGCACGGCAGTATTTCCGGTGAAGGTCTAAGGATGCTGGATTACTTCCGCCGATCGTAGAGTCCAATGCTATACCGAGAATTTATATTGGTTTTTATACTATATTGCTATACTAAAGAAACGTTAGTCACAAAAACAGACACCCCTCGATCGTTTTGTTTATGCTTCTGTGTTTATTATATTAAATAAACATAACTATATATAAAATTACATCTAAACGTATTAAAGTTTCGTTTCAAAGACGAGAGGACAGTAAATTTTGAAGACTCTGCCATAATCCCGTTTTCCTCGGTTTTCCTCCGCTTTAAATTTCCCCAACCGGAAACGCACGAGCATCCTTGCGTCAAACGCCCTCACCCCCATGTCGTTCCAAACCATAGACTGTAAATAAAGACTTCCGTTCATCTTCAGAACACACTATTTTTGATTAAATCTGAGAGATTTCAGAAAATAGTGTAAATGCTCTAAATGACAATATTTTTATTTGGAAGAAATTCTGTCAGTAGTTTGTAGAACAATTTTTAAAAGAAAAGTTAATTTTACGCAAACAGATAGGCTACATATAAATAATAAATCCAGAGAAACTGCTATTTTTTTCAGAGCTGTACCTATCATAAAAATACTGTTCAGTATTGGCTCATTTACTTGGAGCTTAGGCTATCAACGATTAGCCTACCTCTGGCAAATCAATGGCTGTAAATCATTATTTCAGTCATAAACACAACACAATATGTAAACCGTTGTATATTGATGAAAATTTATTTTCAAAGTTATTTCTAGACTGACGCGTAATTATGTTATCAGGAGACGACGCACTATTTTCAGTGGCGCTTTAAAACAGAACAAGAAACTCTTGAAAATTCGTGTTTACTCCGCCCAGTTCCCGTCTAGTGATTCGAGAAACAAAGCTTTTCGAATCTTTGAATCAATTGAACCAATTGCTTCAAAATGATTCACTGGTTCTAACCGCTCGAATCGCCACACGCTGGCGCCCCCTGCTGGCCAGAACAGTGCAAATGCAGCGAAAACTAGCATAAAAAACCTTCACAAACCAATTGCAAATGTTTTATTGAAATTGTATTCAAATGCAATTAACAAATCATCGGATACCATTAAAAATAATAGGTTTCTTTATAATATGTGCTATTTCATTAAAATGTAGGGCTTGTTCTTGTTTGTTTTATGGAGAGCTTGGTTAATCAGACCAATAAAAGACTATTAACAAAAACTCGTCCCTTTTTATTATACAAATATTTCATTAAAATGTCTACAAATAAAAATAAAAAAAAATTATCTGAGATCAGGTTAACATGAAATATAGACACTGGTTAATGGGTTCAAAGTTCAAAGCCAAAGAGATGATCGACCCCTAGCGGCGAACCACTGAAATATCGACAAGGCAATGACGCAACGAAGCCTCGTTTACTGTAATCACGTGGTACGCACTCCGAATCTCTGTTTCCGAAACAAATGATTCGCAAAGGTTTCGAAGCTTCACGTCGATTTAAAGCGCCCATCACTAATTCCACGTTTAAATGTAAGTATTGTGTTTTAACTTACTCAAATAGCTAGCGATACAAATGTTAAAAAACCAAGCGTCTTTTTAAAAAACTAAAAATATTATTTAAACAATCCGTTAAGTTAGCTGAGCCACTGCATTTGTTCGGTGCTGTGGGGCAAAACTGTAACGTTAACGTATGCTATAGCATTTCGCTGTGTTTTCTGAGGGAGCAGACTGCTCAATTTATTAAACTGAGGGGTGAAACTTGTGAATTATTCACCGGGGACAGAAATTCGGCTAGTGTGGCTTGAAGGTAAGACAACAACCCGTTAAATCTAGTATAAACAATCTTGTCCTGATGGTTACAGTTAAATTAGCCCTCACCCATACAAAAAAACACAGCGATAGATAGATAGATAGATAGATAGATAGATAGATAGATAGATAGATAGATAGATAGATAGTAGTAATGCTGTCATGCAAGCATTGGTTATGTTTTAACCAAATTTGGGCGTCCATATCTATGATTTCTGGGAGATTTTTGTGTCCACCCTCGCGTGTCATTTTTTTAAATCTTCCTAAGTTTGCATCCCTGTGTTTATATGTTTCTCAAGTGTTTCTTTTTTCTCGTCATTTTGCTTTTAGTGTGTGTGTGTGTGTGTGTGTGTGTGTGTGTGAAGCTGCATCCCTTCGAAGGTCGAACCGAGCGTTGATAAATGAGATGGTCTGACATGGAGGATTTCATATTTGTGGTCTAAATGTTAAAAATTCAAGGAAGTCCTGCAATTTAAAAGGCTCAGATGGATGTGCACAATAAAAAAACTCACCAGCAGGTACATCGTGCCTAACCAGGCATCCAATAAAAAATATATATACTTTTTTTGTAATAGACAGCTCTATAAAAAGAACTATTTGAATGTTGTCATAATAAACTTTTATTTTATTTTTTACAGATGGATGATGCTACTGGTCCAAACAGCTCTCCTCACCAGGTACATTCATGCTCATCACACACAAAAACAATCATTCTACAGTCTATCTTCGTTGTGTTTGTTTTGATGGTAATGGAGTGAGAATTAGTACACTAACAGTTTAATGTTATGTGTCCAGAAGGTTAGTGGTAGTGGAATACTTAGGGCTGATTTGAACCTTCACAGGCATTTGTTTTTGTGTTTTTTTTGGTTCTGGACACTCGTAACGTCCCCACAGCACACTTTCAGTCAGTAGCTGCGTATATATGGACCCTAATAATCCATTTGTAATCAAACTAGTAGCACAATTGAAATAAAAGGTCACATGTAGTAACCACATCAATTAGGATAAATTGGTCAAATCCGATTTAAATTTAATTTGGATTGTAAGGGTAAAGGCTGATTTACTGTAAACTCATGCGTCAAACCTACGCTGTGGCGTAGCCTGACGTTCACCTCTCCAAACATGTAACTAACAACGTGTCAATTCAACGCTGTGATTGGTTTGCTAGAAGTGAACCAATCGCCAAAGATGAAGTGCTGTGATCTGTCTACATGTGTAATTGCACATCGACGAGGACAACGTTGCAGAAGTATAAATGATAACCGATGCATAGCCTACAGCGTAGAAGATACGGCGTAGGTCCGATGCAGAAGTATAAATCAGCCTTATATTGAGTATAGTGTAATAAAGTACTTACAAATCATTTTCAAAGTTAATTAATAGTTTATAAACTGTAGCTAATACATAAATAGACTATACAAATAGTGAGTAATTCATTCATTGTCACTGTAATTAACAAATTATTATTGTTTTTATTAGCTCATATGTAAAGAGTTAGATAATGCTTTAACAACTTATTAACAGTTCAGTTAATATTTCTCACTTTAGATTAGGTCATGGGAAATGGGAAAATTACATTAATGAAGTGCTTTAAACCAACCTTTATTAGACATTAATTCCATTCATATTCAGTGTTCATTAAAATGTTTACAAATACACACACACATTCTTGAATATGAGGTTAACGGGGACTCTCTATAGACGTAATGGTGTTTATACTGTACAAACTGTATATTCTCTCCCCTTTCACTAACCCGACCCTAAACCTGGCCATAACAGAAAACATTCTGCATGTTTACATTTTCCAAATAAACTCATTCTGTATGATTTATAAGCTTGTTTCCTCATGGGGACCTCAATGTAGGTCTCCACAGTGCCGTGAGTCCACATGGGTCTGTGTGCATTCAAGTTGAAGACCCCAGCGGGATAGAAAAACATGAACACACACACACAAAAGTGTATTAGCTATACTTGTGAGGACTCTCCATAGGCGTTATGGTTTTTATACTGTACAAACTGTATATTCTATTCCCCTACTCTAACCCGACCCCTAAACCTACCCATCACAGAAAACTTTATGCATTTTTACATTTTTAATAAAACACTGTTTAGTATGTTTTTAAAGCCATTTGATATACGAGGACTCCGGAAATATCCTCATAAATCATGTTCACGTTGTAATACCAGTGTAATACCAATGTCATTATACAAATATCTGTGCTCATAAATCACAAAAACAACCACACTCTCACACGCACACTCTCACATGCGCACACACACACTCTCATACACACACACATTTGGTTTGCATGTTTTATAGGGAGTTTTACAAACTATATTTTCCCCCCTAAACCTTGCTGATGTATTTTAACAACGTGACCGTGAATATTTGTATGTAATTCATATAGACAGAATTATTTATTTATTTATTTTTAAGTGGTTATGTTTAGCTACGGAGATAGGCTTAATGTATTAATGTGTTGTTGACATTCTTATGAACTCTTAATAATAATAATGCAATTGAAGCACTTAATGTCATTTTCCCATATGAGCTATTTAAACAATAATACTTTGTTAACTACAGTGACAATGAAAGTTGTTGTTGTTCAATATAGTGTATTAAATGACTGTCGTCTCACGCAGACGCCTTGTTTTGGGCGCGGGAAGGGCCATTTTTACTGCTTGATAATTATAAGCAGCACGGATCAGGACCTCTCCTAATCAGGTTAACTAGGTTAATTCTGCTTCTTAAAACAAAGAAAAAGAAGCGATGGCAGGATGATGGTTAGTATGCGCCATTCATTAATTTCATTAATTATGCAGGAAAGGTTAAAAGTAACATTAAGGTACATTTTAGGCCTGACTCAGTTTAAAAACTGGTTTCCAGCACGTTCCTGTTCTGTAGATCATAAAACACAATTTACAACACATGAAGTCAGAAACACTTATACAGGACATTAGCATGGGCTAGACTGCAGCAATTCACATTTTGCCAAAAGCTTAATGACATGTATTTTGTTTAGTTGTCTATTCATAATCGTGGGAGAATCATGATCTCTATTTTAAACAAACAAAAAAAATCTGTGTAAAGGTGCTGTAGGTGATTCTCTGCAGAAACATTGTTTGTTATGCTGGTTGAAAGTCTCCTCATATCCTGATAGCTATCACTCTGTTAAGCGGTCTAAATGTATTTTTATAAATATATGTCATCTGTGGAAGGTAGCCTGGTAAAACCAAACTCTGCTTGTCTGAAGTAAAGTATAAAATCATTGGTTACTCGTAAGCCAATCACATAACGCAATCACCTCTCTCTCCAACTTAAACTACCTCCATTCAAAATGTTTAACAAACACTCTTCTTGTTCGGGCTTCAGTTTGCAAATGCCGGGAATATTCTCCACAACAGAGCGAATTGCATCCCGTGTCTAAAATACAATCTTAAACTCGGTGCTTAGCGTCTACGTCACGGCTCTCAGCCCGCCCTCTGTTCGTTGATTGGGCGGCTGTTTTCAGGCCGGAGGAAAACTGAGAGATAGGTCGCTATCTCAGAGTGAGTACAGAACCGATCTGAAATTGAGCGGAAGTACGAAGTCTGACGTGGTCAGGCGATGTGGAAGGTGTAGGATCATAAAATGCTCGTTCAATCGTATCGTTCGGTCCGAATGGTCCTATAGCATGTGTTCCCTGTCAGTCAACATGTGTTTGCATACACACTGCGCAGGCTGTTCACGCAGACATAATAAGTCATCACCGCGTTCACATACACTGTCCAAACAGAGCGAGAATGGCAGGCAAGCAGCAACAGCCTAACTTTCCTTCTGAACCGACAACAAGTGGCACTGGCTAAGGATACGATCTATATCTTCATCTGAGCCAGGCAGAATCTCATCATGGAAACCCTCGCTTGTCATGCAATAAATATTTTTACACACTGACAAGTTTTGCTAGCTAATCAAACCGAAAACATGCTGCATCTAATTCTGTTTTTAAGATTTTGTTTAGGTTTGGTATTGTAGAGTTACTAACTGTACTGTAAAGTTTTCTCACCGGTAAATGACACATGTATTGCAGTAACGTTGTCTCCAGTCTTCTTGGCTGTGCGCGATCATGTTTCAAGAGGCGGGGCTTTGAACGGTGATTTGCAGGGAGGGTATGCACTAACGTCCCGTACGCTTTTACTGCTATCAGGCTAAAGTTAGCATTTTACCAGATGTCCTACAGCACCTTTAATAGACATGGCAGAATCGCTGTCATATAGGAATAAGGGTGTTTGAATCGAGATCATGATCTTTTAATGAGTAATCATGCAGCTCATAGTGTAACTGTAAACAATTGGACGAAACTGGTCCCCACAAAGAACTATTACATAAAACCCCAGTATAGTCTGTTTTATTCAAATGTGTGTCCAGACAGAGGTTGATTTTTTTTTAAGTCTTTTTCTATTTCAAATACTATACTAATGCAAAATGTTGTTTATACTTTTGATTTTTGTTTACAGATTGTGTCGCAGTTCCGAAATGAAAATGAGATTTTTGTACCAAGACTGAGATGTACTGGAAATAGCATGGTAAGTTCTCAAGTCAAACTCAAAAATACCATTTTGTTCTGAACTGAAAACGAAACTAAAATGTGCACATAGCAGGTTAGTTCATGAGCCTATTATTCTTAAAGTCCCTGTAAAGTCAAAATTAAGTATGTGTTCTGAGTTTGTCACACCACAGAAAAATGTTATTAGTCGCCCAGCCAAATTTGAATGATAAAAAAACCCGGCAAGTACATAAATTAAGCTATCAAAATCTTGAAAAAATGAGCAGTAGTCTCTGCTCTCAAACGCTAGGGGCGTGTCCGCTGGCTGCGCTGAAACCACGCCCACTCGCGGGAAAGCTGCCGTCGCCACACTCAACACGTCACTGCTACAGCAGCAGTAGAGTTACTGTGGACTACCTACTATAATTATAACATAAGCACACAAGGCAACTTACACACTCATTGGTGGGCACGCACTGCCGATGATGGCACCAGTTGTCGGCGCGACAGGAGGATGAAGGCCGAGGCGGGAGATAGTGGGTTCGGCCCCATTCACCAGTAACAGCGGATTATCAGTGAATCCCAGTTGTCTCCAACGAAAGTTTATAAAACTATCCCGTGTAAAATGATCACTACAGAGGCGGGTTTTGGTGGTGATCCTCAGCTCTCCAACAAGGTGTCTCTTCACAAAATTAATCCACCTCTTCTTGATGTGATAGTTTTTAGGAAATTTAAATAAGGACACGATCTGTTTTGTACATGATCGCATCCAGGTAGTACGCATTTCCGTAACGAAGGCATAGCTAACTCGCAAACTGTAGGCTGTAGTAACTAATAATTGTACAGACAGTAACTCGCGATTGAGCGGCAAACTGAGGTGAATGTGCTCTATTAATATTGTTAGGGGAGCGGCCAGCCTCAGTGGCTCTAGTGCGTCACCAAGTAGGGGCGTGTCCAGGAGCTCAGGGGCTGCAGTGCGTCATCAAGTAGGGGCGTGTCCAGGAGCTCAGGGGCTGCAGTGCGTCATCAAGTAGGGGCGTGTCCAGGAGCTCAGGGGCTCCAGTGCGTCATCAAGTAGGGGCGTGTCCAGGAGCTCAGGGGCTCCAGTGCGTCATCAAGTAGAGGCGTGTCCAGGAGCTCAGGGGCTCCAGTGCGTCGTCAAGTAGAGGCGTGTCCAGGAGCTCAGGGGCTCCAGTGCGTCGTCAAGTAGAGGCGTGTCCAGGAGCTCAGGGGCTCCAGTGCGTCATCAAGTAGGGGCATGTCCAGGAGCTCAGGGGCTCCAGTGCGTCGTCAAGTAGAGGCGTGTCCAGGAGCTCAGGGGCTCCAGTGCGTCGTCAAGTAGAGGCGTGTCCAGGAGCTCAGGGGCTCCAGTGCGTCATCAAGTAGGGGCATGTCCAGGAGCTCAGGGGCTCCAGTGCGTCGTCAAGTAGAGGCGTGTCCAGGAGCTCAGGGACTCCAGTGCGTCATCAAGTGGAGGCGTGTCCAGGAGCTCAGGGGCTCCAGTGCGTCGTCAAGTAGAGGCGTGTCCAGGAGCTCAGGGGCTCCAGTGCGTCATCAAGTAGGGGCGTGTCAAGGAGCTCAGGGGCTCCAGTGCGTCATCAAGTAGGGGCGTGTCAAGGAGCTCAGGGGCTCCAGTGCGTCATCAAGTAGGGGCATGTCCAGGAGCTCAGGGGCTCCAGTGCGTCGTCAAGTAGAGGCGTGTCCAGGAGCTCAGGGGCTCCAGTGCGTCATCAAGTAGAGGCGTGTCCAGGAGCTCAGGGGCTCCAGTGCGTCGTCAAGTAGAGGCGTGTCCAGGAGCTCAGGGACTCCAGTGCGTCACCAAGTAGGGGCGTGTCCAGTAGCTCAGGGGCTCCAGTGCGTCGTCAAGTAGAGGCGTGTCCAGGAGCTCAGGGGCTCCACTGCGTCATCAAGTAGGGGCGTGTCCAGGAGCTCAGGGGCTCCAGTGCGTCATCAAGTAGGGGCGTGTCCAGGAGCTCAGGGGCTCCAGTGCGTCATCAAGTAGGGGCGTGTCAAGGAGCTCAGGGGCTCCAGTGCGTCATCAAGTAGGGGCATGTCCAGGAGCTCAGGGGCTCCAGTGCGTCGTCAAGTAGAGGCGTGTCCAGGAGCTCAGGGACTCCAGTGCGTCAAGTAGAGGCATGTCCAGGAGCTCAGGGGCTCCAGTGCGTCGTCAAGTAGAGGCGTGTCCAGGAGCTCAGGGGCTCCAGTGCGTCATCCAGTAGGGGCGTGTCCAGGAGCTCAGGGGCTCCAGTACGTCATCAATTAGGGGCGTGTCCAGGAGCTCAGGGGCTCCAGTGCGTCATCAAGTAGGGGCGTGTCCAGGAGCTCAGGGGCTCCAGTACGTCATCAATTAGGGGCGTGTCCAGGAGCTCAGGGGCTCCAGTGCGTCATCAAGTAGGGGCGTGTCCAGGAGCTCAGGGGCTCCAGTGCGTCGTCAAGTAGAGGCGTGTCCAAGAGCTCAGGGGCTCCAGTGCGTCATCAAGTAGGGGCGTGTCAAGGAGCTCAGGGGCTCCAGTGCGTCATCAAGTAGGGGCATGTCCAAGAGCTCAGGGGCTCCAGTGCGTCATCAAGTAGGGGCGTCTCCAGGAGCTCAGGGGCTTCAGTGCGTCATCAAGTAGGGGCGTGTTCAGGAGCTCAGGGGCTACAGTGCGTCATCAAGTAGGGGCGTGTCCAGGAGCTCAGGGGCTCCAGTGCGTCATCAAGTAGGGGCGTGTCCAGGAGCTCAGGGGCTACAGTGCGTCATCAAGTAGGGGCGTGTTCAGGAGCTCAGGGGCTCCAGTGCGTCATCAAGTAGGGGCGTGTCCAGGAGCTCAGGGGCTCCAGTGTGTTATCAAGTAGGGACGTCTCCAGGAGCTCAGGGGCTACAGTGCGTCATCAAGTAGGGGCGTGTTCAGGAGCTCAGGGGCTACAGTGCGTCATCAAGTAGGGGCGTGTCCAGGAGCTCAGGGGCTCCAGTGCGTCATCAAGTAGGGGCGTGTCCAGGAGCTCAGGGGCTACAGTGCGTCATCAAGTAGGGGCGTGTTCAGGAGCTCAGGGGCTCCAGTGCGTCATCAAGTAGGGGCGTGTCCAGGAGCTCAGGGGCTCCAGTGCGTCGTCAAGTAGAGGCGTGTCCAGGAGCTCAGGGACTCCAGTGCGTCAAGTAGAGGCATGTCCAGGAGCTCAGGGGCTCCAGTGCGTCGTCAAGTAGAGGCGTGTCCAGGAGCTCAGGGGCTCCAGTGCGTCATCCAGTAGGGGCGTGTCCAGGAGCTCAGGGGCTCCAGTACGTCATCAATTAGGGGCGTGTCCAGGAGCTCAGGGGCTCCAGTGCGTCATCAAGTAGGGGCGTGTCCAGGAGCTCAGGGGCTCCAGTACGTCATCAATTAGGGGCGTGTCCAGGAGCTCAGGGGCTCCAGTGCGTCATCAAGTAGGGGCGTGTCCAGGAGCTCAGGGGCTACAGTGCGTCATCAAGTAGGGGCGTGTTCAGGAGCTCAGGGGCTCCAGTGCGTCATCAAGTAGGGGCGTGTCCAGGAGCTCAGGGGCTCCAGTGTGTTATCAAGTAGGGGCGTGTCCAGGAGCTCAGGGGCTACAGTGCGTCATCGAGCCCTGTTTTAGCCCCGCCCACAAAATCGGGAAAATAGCTATGGTGAAAAACTGTTTAACGGTCTAACTCCACAATTCAGTACTTCACAGTTCACAGTCTTTGTAATTTTGTTTTAGCTATACATTTATAACATTTATAATGTGTTTAGAATTTTTTTTTAAATTGCCTTTACAGGGACTTTAATGAAAAACACAACAACAAAACAGCGATTTAAAAGTGATACTATCCAGTGATATTTTACATTTGATCACTTTAATTTCTGTAGTATTGCTAACCGGAATACTAACTTACTGTCAGACCCAGCTGAAAAACCTTAAGCCATGTTTATTTCATATCTCTCTTTATTCAATTTGTTTATTTATTCTTATTTTATTACTGACTTTTTACTTTTGTTTTTTATCAAATATATTTAGCATTGAAGAAAAGTAGATTTTTGTTTGTATATGCTGTCAATTATTAGCCTAGAAATCTAGACTCTAGTCATTTTTAAAAAAGGAAGATGTGTTCTGTGTGAAGATGGGTGAGATCGCTCTGACTACGTCACCTTCTCCGTTGCTCTGGTTGGTTGTAGCGCTATCCTATTGCGTGCAGAGGTAATTTGAAAGACAACCGTTTATCCCGCCCCTCGTATTGAGCCCTGTCAATGGTGAGTTCCCAGACCTAACATCCTGATGTAGGTCTGGCATGCCAGGCTAGTCAATTATAGTTCCTGGAAAGAAATTTGTAATCTGCAAAAATCTGTATCGGCAGGTCACACTTCACACAATCTGAATCAGCCAAGAAAATTGCAATCGGAGCATCTCTAATCAGATGTCCTTTTTTTTTTTGTCAGATCAACTGTCCAAAATATTGAAAAATGACTTGAACGATTAAGAGATTATCAAAATAGTTGCAAATTAATTTCTGTTAATTTGCTGATCAATTAATTAAATAATTGTGACAGTTCTAAATGTTTCTTATTTATTTATTTTTTAGATGAAAGACATGGATCTTCAGGATTCTTATGATCTCTATGATTCTACATCAGAGAGTTCAGATTCCTACATTTCAGATATCTTTTCCGAAACTGACAGTGAAGATAACCTCATACCAGACCAGACAAAACTTCAGCTTCTTGATGAAATGGATGTTGATGAATCTGGCTCAGCGAGTTCCCCCGTCTGCGACACAACGTCTGACCAAACAACCTTTGATAGCCACAGTCTTACATCTGAAGCGTCTGGAACAGCAGAAGAACCCTGTTCAAGTCAGAACACTAAAGACGGCATAGTTGTTAGTGCATACCAGAAAAGAGGAGGCAGCAGAGTGTACGACAAGAGACATTACTGCTTGTATTGCCATAAGCCTTATGCTAAGATGGCAAGGCATCTAGAAGGTTCACATAAAAAAAAATCTGATGTGGCTAAAGCTCTAAGCTTTCCGAAGGGATCCAAGGAGAGAAGAAAACTGCTAGATTATATTCGCAACAGAGGAAACTATGCTCACAATGCCGCTGTTGTGAAATCAGGCAAGGGAGAACTTGTGCCATTTAAACGGCCACCTAAAGAAGCGCAGGCGGATGATTTCATGCACTGTGTATACTGTCAAGGGCTTTTTATAAGAAAGGTCCTGTGGCGACATATGCGTTATTGTAGACTTAAACCTCGCTCGGTCGCCCCCAAACCAGGAAAATACCGTGTTCAGTCTTTGTGTAGATACACAGGGCCTGTGCCTTCAAACATAACTAAACAGCTCTGGGGAGTAATAACCACCATGACTCCTGACCCGATCACGGATATAATAAAAAATGACAAAGTAATTGTTGATTTTGGACAGCACTTGTTAAACAAAGGTGGGATATCAGCCAAGAATAAACAGGGCGTGCGAGAGAAGATGCGAGAATTGGGAAGGCTGCTTGACAACGCTAGGAGAGTCACCACCTTAAAAACAATTAAAGATTGTGTAAATCCAAAGAAGTATATGGAGACTGTCAAAGCTGTCAAGTACACATGTGGGTATGACCTTGAATCCGACAAGTTCTTGATTCCAACACTCGCCACCAAGCTTGGGAATTCCCTAGTTAAAGTAAACAAAGTCTTGAAAGCTCAGGGTTTACTCTCAAACAACAAAGAGCTTGTGAAGAATGCCAGTGAGTTTCAAGAGATCCATGAGGAGAAGTGGAACGAGATGATCTCGGCTACAGCGTTGAGGAACATCAGGGAAGCAAAGAGTAATGTGCCCACTATCATGCCCTTTACTGAAGACGTCCAAAAGATGCATGCGTATCTCAGTCAAGTGCGAGATAAGTGGAACAGTTCCCTCTCTGAAAGTCCCTCTACTAAAGCCTGGATGGAGCTGGCGAAGGTGTGTCTAGCACAGGTGATTCTCTTTAACCGTCGCAGGGAAGCAGAGGTGGCGAACATGCCTTTGTCTGCATTTTTATCAAGAGACACATTTGACCCGCATGTGGATGTGGGCTGGGCGCTCTCCGAAGTGGAGAAAATACTCTGCAGAAACTTCTCAATGATTGTCACCAGAGGAACGCATGGTTGGCCCGTTCCAATTCTTCTGACTCCACAAATGTTGAGTGCCTTAGAACTTCTTGTTCAGCAGAGAGAGGCTTGTGGGGTTCTGAAAGACAATGGGTTTTTGTTTGCAAGGCCAGAAGTCATGACGCATTTCCAAGGGTCAGACTGCCTCCGTGGCTTTGCAAAAGCATGTGGTGCAAAGTTTCCCAAGTCACTGACGTCCACCAGACTGCGGAAGCAAGCCGCAACCCTTTCAACAGTGCTGAATATGACCGACACGGAGATGGAGCAGCTCGCCAACTTTCTCGGACATTACATAATAATCCATCGTGAGTTCTGTCGACTCCCTGAGAAGACCCTGCATCTTGCCAAGATCAGCAAAGTTTTAATGGCTCTCGAGCAAGGAAGATTAGCTGAGTTCCATGGCAAGAACTGGGATGAAATTGGGATCGATCCTGACGGTGTGTTAATTTATCTGGTTACACTTTACAGTAAGCTTCATTAGTTAACATTAGTTAATGTATATGAACTAACAATGAGCAATACATTTGCTACAGTATTTATTAATGTTTGTTAATAAAAATACAGCTGTTCATTGTTTGTTTGTTTAAATTCACGGTGCATTAACTAAAGTTTTTGATTTTAATAACGTATTAGTAGGCTAAATGTTGAAATGAATATTACTAAGATGAATTAATGCTTTAGAAGTGTTGTTCATTCTTACTTCATGTTAACTAATGAACCTTACTGTAAAGTGTTATCATTTGTTTTATTTTTGTTAGTTTGTTCTGTGTTTACCGCTTTCTGCTTAATCCTGTTGTGAAGCTGTGCTTTGTATGCCCTCCACAGAAAAAGTTGTGAACTGTGATGAGGAAGACGGGCACATACAGGAGGGACACTGTTCATCTACTGTTTATGGTTTGTATTACTCAACTTCAAGTAGCTTTACTGTCATTTGAAATAATTACTTTTGCTATGTCTTATACAATTCATTGAACATGCTAGATAGTATGCTAGATGGATTTATGTAATTAATCCAAAAATGTTGGGAAATTAATGAATGCATAAAAAGTGATCAGATTTTAACCTCTTTTTTTTTTAAGACAGTACAGTACGCTTATAGCAAATTATCATTTCCCCAATTATCTATTCAGTCCAATGGACAGAATCTAGAAATCAGTGTTTCACTGGCTGCGTTTACATTACAGATTTGCGCAAAACGTTTGCGATATTTTCAAAATGTCGCAAAAAAAATATTGCGAAATGACGGCGTTTCCATTAACCGATGTTATGCGACTAAAACGTCATTTTTTCTTCTTGTGATAAGTCATTCCAAAAAGTATGGCAAGGGATGTCGCTAGGTTTACATATATATTCCAGTCACCGCACTACCCGTTATTATTAATGGAAGGAGACGTAGGCGTATTATCCAAGCATTAATGGAGAGTAAATCCATACGGCCCATATGAGGTGCTTCTGGGTGTTTCTCCCTCATTTCTGCTTCAAGGTCTTGATCGTGGCATTTCTTTGTCGTTTAGAATCCAGTTTTCCCGTAATTCTTTTGTCTTTTATGAGTTTATTAAAGAACTCTGTCTCATCTTCTGACCAAACACACGGCGCCATATACGCCAGGTGACCTGTAAATGCGCAAAAACAGTTTCCATTGCAGTTTTGCGAAATACTGATGTAGGATTCAGAACTTCAGCACACGCTGCTATTCTTTGTCCTTTCATTTATGTATTTTTTTTTTACTACTTTCAGGTAAAACTACCCAGAGGAAAAAACCCTGGCAGCAGACAGAGGTGCAGGCGGTGCAAAGGCACATGATGCATTTCATCACATCTTGTACTGTACCAGCAAAGAGTGACTGTGAGAAGTGTTTAAAGGCCGAACCAGAAGCTCTACAGAACCGAGACTGGAAGAACCTGAAATTCTTCATATATAACCGCATTACAGCTTATAAAAAGAGTTTGCAGTGCAAATAATATGAAGATTACCAGCTCTGGTAGCATGGCAGTTTTTGTATACATTTGCATTTTTCCATGTTTCTAAGTTGTTCCAGAGATTCCTACTCTTCTGCTGAACAGGTCAAAACTCCAGCCAAACTTGTAGGATATTAAACTTTATTGTTAGACCAGTAATTTTCAGCTTGTGGCCTTTATCAGTCATCATAAACATACTGCAAACGTCATTTCAAATAGGTTACGTGTGAGGCAAAAAACAAACAAATAACAACCAAATATTTACATCCACACACATATTGTAATACAAAAATTCAATATCCTACAAGTTTTACTAGAGTTTTGACCTATTTTTTGATTATATTTTTATGTCTACCTGATTTTTTTAAAATACTTTTTAGTATAACGATTTGTTTTGAGGTTCATGCAACTTCATTTGCTGAGTTCGTTTGTAAAGTTGAACTCCTTAAAAGTTAAATTCAGCTATTTAAATGTGAGTTGATGTTTTGAGGTTCAATTACTAGTTAGTAGTAGATTTATTATCATGGTTGTAAGTACCAGGTGAATTAGTAGCAGATGGTTGGTTGTGGTTAAAAACTGTTAAAGAATCATTCAAATTAAGGAAAGAACAGTTTGAAGTGGAAAGGTTTAAAGGTTAGACTTGATGGTTTGATATGGTTTTGACAATATCCAGACAGTAATCTTTGTATATAATAGAGAATAGATTACTTTTTTACTGCTTCATTCACTTAATTTACACTGATATTCCTATCAAATATAGGAGCATCAGTCAATCAAACCAAATATTAGTGTTGTGAAGATGACTACATGGAGAACACTAGGTTTCACAGACCAGGCTTAAGCTAGTCCCAGACTACAATGCATGTTTGACCTGTTTTAACTGAAAGCAACTTGCACTGACATATTTTAAAATATATCAGTGCCATTGTTTTGTCTCAAGATGCACATTAGTAATATTCTTTTCTAAGGCATGGTTATAAATGTTACATAAATGTAGGGCTGGGTATCGTTAAATTTTTTTTCGATATCAATACCTTGACTTTTGGCGCTTTTCCATTACCAGTACCAGCTCGACTCGACTCGACTCGCCTTGGCTTGCCTCGACTCGGCTCGCTTTTCGCTCCGTTTTCTATTGCAGAAAGTACCGCCACAAATAGTACCCGGTCGTCATAGCGACGCCTTTCGTTCCTTGTTGCCCCATCAAGCTCTCGCTGGATCCTCTCTTCGGCAACCAAACAAAGGAATGTCTGCACCTCCTCGTTTGACCACGGCGTATTCTTCCGAGTTGCCATAATAATAGTAGAAAGTTTAGTAACTATCTCTGGCCAAACTATTTAAAAATGGCGGGGTTATTCTGGATACTCCATCTCTGGCGCGTGCAATGATGACGCAGATTCTCTGTGACCAATCAGCAGTCGGCATTGTTTTCACGTCACATTTTAGTATCGCCCTAGCTCGCTTAGAACCTCGCCGGAGGTGGTACGAAAAAAAGTACCCGAAAGCAGGTACAGGTACAACTTTTACACAGTGGAAAACCAAACAAAGGCGAGTCGAGCCGAGGCGAGCTGGTACTGTGTAGTGGAAAAGCGCCATATGATACCGGTTCCTGAACGATACTTTTTTCAATACCAATTTTATGAAACCTGTTTTAACATTACATATTACCTTTAAAAAAAAGTTTGTTGTTTCAGTTTGTTGACTTTTTTTTAACAGATTCAATTACTTATATAGGCCACAGGGGGGCGGAATATATGCCTTGCACTCAAGCACACGCATAAAGATAGCCGCAAAGGTGGCCTAATCATTGTGAATGTGTCGGGAAAAAATAGCCAGGAGACATTTTAACATAGACAGTATAAGAAATGGACAGAGCCATCTCATTGGAACTCAGTTGAGACAGTTGAAGCCCATTTTTAGCGATTTCTGAGCACTTCCGTTCCTGTCGCGCAGACTCAAACCGACTCAAACTAAGCTTGATGACGTGAGCAACCTGTCTGACAGACGTTACTCTTCTAGTAGCTGTGCGTGAAAATTGCCAACGTTAATCTTGCAGAGACGGGAACTTGAGCAAAGAGTTCTTTGGCGTGAGTGAGCAGGAGTAAGTATTCCGTTGCTTTTATGGACTCATTATCTATGGGCTTCTCCCTTGACGGGACGTCCCCCCGATTGCCTGCGAGCTTCTCCTCCTGTCTGTACGGTAATTTCTGTACAGCGCGACAGAGAGTCGAGTGGTTATGACGCAATCGTTAGCCTATTTTTACTAAAACTGTTTCTACGGGGCCATAATGTAACATAGAAGGTAATGGAGCACTTTATACATTGTCGTGTTTCTTTAGAAATAAATAATGGACAAATGGAGTCTTTAAACGCCTCAGATGTAAAGTTATTCGCTGTCAAAGTGACGCCAAAATGAATGGGAGTCAATGGAAATGCTAACGCAAGTGAAGTTCTGCTACAAGATGGCGGCACCCGGCCGGCTTCAACTTCCGGTCGATGGATTACCCCCTTGCATTTTAATGGCTTATAGAGGGGTTTCACGACGCGTCATCAATCCGGAAGTCGGCCATTTTGGAGGCACAGAACGTAAATAATGCCACTGAACTGAATGGACTCGCAAATTTGGCTGATTATTGCTGCTGAAAAATGGTCGAGTTTTTGTCTGTACCAATCGGTCACATCGGGAAAAAACATGTCGAGTGCTATAGACTGTCAAAAGTTAAAGAGAAGAGTGCAAAAAACTGATGAAAGAAGGCGTTTGTGGTTGAGAGAGGTAGTACATCATCAGACAGGTGTAAATGAAGCGTTGACTATGGCTAAAATGTCGACGTAGTTAACTATGGCTACATTCACACTGTCAGTCCAAATCCGATTATCTTTGTATCAAATTGGAATCTGATCTAAAATGATGTCCACACTGTGTATCGCAACTGTTCAGATCCGACGTGTGTGTCCATGCATGTTATTTGGTAATATGGCAATGACTTTGCGTTGATGGAGGGGTTGCATTTGCAATATAATGTTAGATGTTGTCTTTTTTAAATGTTACAACATGGAAATGTGTATAGCCGCCGGCGCGCTGGACTACTACGGCAGAACTGTAGGAGGCTGGTATGTAACGTTAACTTACTGCTTTTTTCCCACGCTCGTCTGCGCCGGTTTCAGAAATAATACTTTTCTGCTCGGCACTTTGCAACAACACAGCATTGTTTCGGCAGTGACTTTCAGAATGTTTCCTATAAATGACGTTTGCATTTTAAGACATACCACGCGAAATCCGATCGTTCAGACTGAGGCTGATGTCCTGATATGTGATTTGAATAGGATTTCAAACCACATATGGATGTAACTTGAAACGAATTTCATGTGCTTTTTTGGACTGACAATCTGAACGTATCTTATTTCGGGATAATAAATAGATGGAAGAATTGCAGTAATGTTACGTGCTAGAGAAGCTAACTCGTTCGGATCTTTAGCAGCTACCACATAATGTGACCACATAAAACATATTAACTTTAGTTTGTCAAAATGTTGCGCTCTCTCCTGCTTCCCAAGTCCTTCTCTATATGATTTCGCACCTACCACGTGTTTTTTCCGTGGTTTATTAGTGTAACAATGTGTTCAGTAGTACATGAACAGTGCAATCCATGCTGTTGTTTACATCCGAGTGCCTCCATAATGGCCGCGCATCCGGGTTACCGCCCAGAACGTGACGTTGGTGAAACCCCTCTATTAATAAACTACTGTTTTCTGAGTCAGTGTTGGCTGCAAAGATGAAGTTGACGTTGCTGACTCGTCATCTCTGCAGTGTAGTGAACGTGTGCGTGCCTATGAGAGAAATGCACCTTTCATTTGGATTACATGGAGAGTATTTGTTTTCGATTCAAATTGGTTCGTTTAAAAGTAGACATCTCAAGCTTTCTATATGCCTATTGGTTATGTTTGTGAGGCAAGTAGCCTATACACTGAGTTTCGGTTCATTTGTGACACGCTCCAGTTCTCAGTCGAAAACTGCCAGATTACATAAGTTTATTCCGTAAACTGTCAAGTGCTTCATCAGATTTGTCAAGTTGCCGGTCTTGGAAGCAATTATCTTGTCGCAAATGGCGCTTTTCCACTGCATAGTACGGTTCGGTTCGGTACGGCACGCTTTGGCGCTTTTCCACTGCATAGTACGGTACGGTTCGGTACGGCTCACTTGTGGTGCTTTTCCACTGCATGGTCCGGTACGGTACGGCTCGCTTCGGCTCGCTTTAAATGGTACCTGGTCTGTTGAGGTTCCAAGCGTACCGTACCGGTACTAAAATGTGACGTAAAAACACTGCAGATCACTGATTGGTCAGACAGAATCGTCACTACCAGCGTCATTGGACACTAAACCCGCTAGATTTAAATAACCAGAAGACAACAGCCAACGCGGTAGCATCTGTTTTTTAAACTTTAAAAAGAAATGGCTGAATCGTGGTCAGTGGACGAGGTGCAGACGTTCCTCTCGTTGGTTGCCGAGGAGCGGATCCAGCGAGAGCTGGATGGGGCAAAACGGAATGAAAAAGTGTTCCAAGAAGTAACGTTAGCTCAGCTCTTAGTCGCACACGGCTATCACCGGACCTACAAACAGTGTAGGGACAAAATAACGATCAGTCCCACCCACTTTGAAGAGGTACTAACTGCGGTGGAAAAGCAACCGAGCTAAAGCGAACCGAACCGTGCCGTACCGAGTCGAGTCGTACCACGCAGTGGAAAAGCGAAGCGAGCCGAACCGTTCCGCGCCGAGTCGAACCGTACCGAGCCGTACCAGCAGTGGAAAAGCGCCAAAAGATTGCATTGATCGCTGTTGGCATCGAGTCTGGTGAAATGTAGCCTCACTTTTCCGCATCTTTTCCATCTATGGGGGTTGGGACGCTTACATACTACAGACTCACGTGTGAGCCATGTCTCTGGGCGTAAACGGCAACAACTTGTGTTTTTCCTTGATGCCTCGCCACAGCCAATCATGCTGCATGCTTATTGGCTCACTGATGTTGGCGAGATTAACCCCTTAGATATCGAATTTTGGTATGAACGACAAGATGTTTTTTGATACGCAATGGTATTGAGGCATTTCGTTCAGTGCCTAAAAAGTATCGAACTCGATACCCAGCCCTACTTAAATGTCCTAATGAACTAAGGCCTAATCTAAGCCCTATCTGTGAAACCGGGCCTAGGTGTGCTATGCAAGAGTGAGACTTTGCATAACTAGCACCATTTGCATAGCCTCGTGAGACCATCCTGATCTCGCGAGCTTTCAAGGTTTCACTCGCAGATCAGTCTGGATACTTTCCGTTAAAGAAAATTTGGGAGCAGTTCACCAAACGAACGTCCAATCAGCGTTGGCTTTGAGGCGGGTTGAGGTGTGACGCAACGAGAAGCGCGACAGTTCAGTCTAAAGAACATGTCGGCTTCAGCGGATGAAACTAGCATCAGC